TTATCACTTATCAGATTGTCGTCTGTTATCTTTTTGAAGGTGTTTTCCTTGAATTCGCAACGCGAAAGTCAAATTCATGTTGCGATTTGTTGTTGCGATTGATGTGAAAGTCAAATTCGCATTGCAATTTTTGCGTTGCGATAGTTAAATTCGAAACGCGAAACCGCAAACCGAAAATCGCAACGCGAATTTGACTTTCGCGTTGCGAATTTGACTATCGCAACACGAATTTGACTTTTGCGTTGCGAATTTGATTTTCGCGTTGCGAAAGTGTACCTTCAACAGGTTTTTTTGCCTTCAACATAATATAGATTGAATAAACAACAAATCAACTTTTACAAATCAATTAAACAAGCAAAAAATAATTCTTATTTACACATCAATTAAACAAATCAACTTTTCCAAATCAATTAAACAAGCAAAAAATAATTCTTATTTCCTCATCAATTAAACAAATCAATTTTTACAAATCAATGCAAAATTCAATTAAACAAGCAAAAAAAGTGTACCCCGGACAGTTGTTTATGCACAAATACATCAATTTCACGCAGCTCACTTCAGGATTAACCTGCAGAAACCAAACATTTGCTCAAACAACACTTTCTACACATCTAAAACCAACAAACAATAAATTATTGAATTCTAGGTACTTAACCAAATATTTTCAAACCAACAAAGAGTATATATGTTAACAACACTTGCTCAAACTTACCAATTGTTTATGCATACTTTCAGCACTCGGATGCAGGTAGGAAGCGTCTCGCATATATCGGTCTAGCCATAAAATGCCGAAACCACAAGCCTACTGCACCTCTATCTCTATCTGTGGGAGGTAGAAACTGTTTACTTCATGTCGTCAAACGTTCCAAGCACATACATACGAGAGGACCACAATCCCCTCTGGCTCCCTCCATTTGTTGTGGCGCGGTCTCGTCTTTGATCATTGTAACTTTGAACTTTTTTGGCTTCTTGTTTCCAGAATTAGTCCAATAATCAATTGCATTCAAGTATTTCGCCAAATGAGAGCTACATCCCTTACAAATAATATCTCTCAAATCAGACAATGGTATGTAATTTAACATGTTGTCATATACTATTGTCTTCAGGGATGGGAGCTGAATCTCGATGAGAAGCCAATGACGACGTTCCAAAACAGGGATAAACATCTGCAATCATAGATAATTGTACACATCAAATAAAAGACGTTCCAAAACAGGGATAAACACCTTTACAATATTCAAAAAATAAATACTAACCTTATCGACCTCCCATCACGCATGATAAAGTTTAGTTTTTCCATTACCCAACATATATGAAGCATCTCTCGGATCTTTCAAGTGAGCTACGTGAAAAGACGTCGGCAAAATAGTTCATTGAGTATTTTTTATTTTATTCAATTTCCTTATTATTAGAAGACGTGACACCCATGCATAAATATGTTGTTTTATAAAAAAATACATATATTAGTGAATTTATTAATAAATTTTAAAAAAATAATCAAAATGCAATATAAGAAGAATATAAGACTTACCACCCCTTCGAGATAGCCATTATCTTCAACCCCTAATAAAATACACCACCAAGACCGATCAAGAAACAAATGAATAACATCTTCGAGTTTGCATATGTCAGAATAACACACCTTGCTCCGCTCATGTAGATAAAAATCAACTGCAGTCTTAGCCTAAAGGGTATTATCTGTAATTGTGTCCGGTAGTGTTCCCCTCTCCTGCTGAGGAATGGTATTGGCCGGTAACACATACAAAAGCCAACTCGCATCCATCATATCGGGCACATGAGGGGGTTTATCAATATGTCGATATATGACGCCTTGTGAATCGAGGTCTTGAACGGTGGGAGAGACCTCTTGAACGATGACAGGGGCCTCTTGAACGGTAGGAGGGGCCTCTTGAACGATGAGAGGGGCCTCTTGAACAATAGGAGGCACTAGTGGGGTGAAAGGAGACGTAATGGCACGTGCACGATGTTTGATGCGTAAACCCCGTCGTGCAAGAAAAACCCAACGTAAAGCATCTACCTTATCGGACCGCTGAAAATAAATTAATACATAAATCAGTAAATAAATAAATAAATAAATAATGCCAAAAAAAGGTTATTTGCATTTTTAGTATAGTATTAAACAAATTTACCTCATTGCGTAGAGTATGAACCTCATTCTGCAACGATGAAACAATCTCACGTAGATCGGCTACCTCATCACATAAAGTAGATACCTCACCACATAGCGCACCATTGTCATCGCCTAAAACATCCACCTCACCACGTAAAGAACGTACCTCATCACGTAGCGCACCATTGTCTTCACGTAAAGTACCGACCTCATGACGCAAAGTACCAACCTCATCACGTAACTCCCCAAACTCATCCCGTGGAGGTGGAGAACAGGGATATAAATGTCGTGGCCTCTTTCCCGGTCGCCTATCATGAGGTGATGGTGGAGAATAGGCTCGATGATGTGATGGAATAAATGATGGTGGAGGTGGAGAAGAGGCTCGATCAGGTGATGGCTCCGGGTGTCGAGCTGAAGAATCGGCCCGATAAGGTGATGACTCTTGAAGTAGGGGGTGCTCATCATCCATCCCATCAAAAAGCCGCTTACTAGCTTGCCACCAATCAATGGCAAGCTCAGCCTCTATGGGTGTCAGCCTCTGTAATGGATAGTTGGCCTCCTAACAATATAAAAGCTCAAACAAAGGTAAACGTGCACTAGTAATAACTTGTTTATATATGGTTGTATTTGTGTGTTAACTTACATCATTCATCGTCGAATATTATAGTAACTCTTCCCAATCCAATATGCGGATCCTCCTCTAGGTAATAGCCCTAGGAATATCATTTGAATTTTTTATTGCATATGTCTGCATGCTGGGGAAAGCCTCAAATATCCAAATCTACAAACAATATAATACACAAACATCAGTAATTGTTAAATAATTAATTATAAATTTGGAAACATTATATAGAAATTCTTATCTTAAAGGCCCAAATAAAACCTACCAAATTGTATTTAGAACCATCGTCCCACAAACGTTTCCGGTCCTCAAAGGCAGAATACAACTTCTTCCAGGTAGCTTTCCATAGATATGAACCCCAAAGAAACAGGTTCCATGCATTTAGGTCATCTACCAATAATATTAGGTTCTCAGAAATAGGTTGTCTGCCCTCTTTGCCTAAAAAGCTGTATGCAAAAGTAATAAATGGAATACTCGGACAACATCAAAGTCATCCATCCGAGTAAAACCATCTTTAACAAATAATCTCGACGTGTAAACTCGGCTTCGACTTTGCTAGCTCAGGAAAAACCCGAGATAACCATGATGGGCGGGAGATATGACTAGTGTATCGGGTTACTTCATCGTGTCCAAAGCATAGACCAATGATTAAGCAAAACTCCTCCCGCCCAAAATAGGTATACGCTGGAGGAAAATGAAACCATATCTCTTCATCGCCACGTTGTATCCTCTCGGGTAGATCGTTAGTCATGGTCTGAAGAAACAAATGTGTCAACATAGCATCTCCACTCGGATGTTGTACTTTCAGCCATGGCCCGAAGCAAGTATCCTCAAACAATTTTCTTTGTAGAGGTGTAAGCGTCGACGCAATTTTAGTGGCTAGGCTTAATTTATTCCTTAAGGTTAATTGAGCCGAAAAAATTTCTACAAAAACAATAAATATACCAAGTTAGATATACCAAAAACTACAAATTATACACTATAAACAGACATGATATTAAACAGTGAAAACAAAGCCAAATATAATTCAAACTAGCACGGTATTCACCCAAGTCATTCTTCCATCATAGTTCACAAAATGCATTAGATAACATTCCAGAAGTAAGCACTTATAAAACATTTAAAAGGACAACATATAGGTTTAGTGCAGGTTCAAGGACAACATAAAGAGTAGTAGTTTATTCTTGAAACTTAAATTCGCAACACTGTGAAGTTACTATTTGTCTTTGTTTTTTGGTTGAAGTAATGCAATTCATTCAAGTTTCAATTTGCAGAAGAATAGTAGTTTCTTAAACTTAAATTCGCAATGCGAAAATGAAAATCGCAACGCGAAACTAAATTCGCGTTGTGATTTTTGTGTTGCGAATTTAAGTTTCAAAAACTATTCTTCTGCAAATTGAAACTTGAATGAATTGCATTTATTCAACAAAAAGACAAAACAAAGACAAATACTAACTTCACAGGGTTAAATACTAAACAGTTTAGCAATATTGATAGCAATCGAATGAATTTACTAAGCAATCTAAGTGAAATGGTTAATCTATATATTGAAATTACTAGTAAATTTATCATCAATATAAGAAAAATCTAATAATAAAAAAAAATTCAAAATAAAAATAAGATATTAAAAAAACTAACCCTCGGTGGTAGATTTTCCATTTCTGACCGTGAATGGTTGTGAGGGTTACTATGAGAGATGGAGATAGACGGATTTCGTCGGAGATGGGGACGGATTACGTCGGAGATAGGGACGGATGTCGCCGTAGAGAGTGAGAGATGGAGATGAGACTAAGTTATGATTTAGGGTTTTAGGTTATGATTTACGATAATACTGTTTACATTTGTGTTGCGAAATTAATATTGCGAAAATAAACATGCTTTGACTTCTGTGTTTCGAATTTGACTTCTGTGTTGCGATTTAAAAATTCGCGTTGCGAATTTAGAAATTGGGTTGCGAAATTAGAGTTCGCGTTGCGAATTTATTGGTCATTTTTACAAATACAAAAAAATGATTAAAATTATATATATTATAAGATATTTTCGATCACTGACGTTACTTTCTCAAAAATAAATCTTTAAAGGAGATTTAAATTTTATCATTATCCTGGTTCGATATCCATCTGTTTGCGTATTTTCTAGAAATGAAATCATTTCTTTTCATTCAATATCAATCTTACACGTAAAAGGCCATCGGCTTATAACTATTTCTGATTTTTTTTTTTGTTGATCGCAAAATTTTATATAATCCATTATTAGCCAAATATTAATAAACAAAATAGATGGTAGGCAGTTCGTTTCTCTCTAGAGGTAGCAGAGGAATCAGGTTCCCAGCATTTCATCCGCATTTAACCGCCGCTACTTGTTCCAATACTAGAGTTGGCAGTGTCTCCTCTTACCCAAAGCCCATTTCTCACAAATTCTTCAGTAGAAACCCTAGTAAACCCTAGTCCTTCCCAAAACATATTGAAACACTCTATACCTTCATCACCAGTTCGTGGGATCGTTGGGTTTTCAGCAATGGCATCTGCAACTGAAGGAGAAGATGGTCAGTTCAAGTTGTATGAGACCAGTGTGCTTAAAATCCAGAAGGGCGACCTTACTCAGTGGTTTGTTGATGGCTCCTCCGATGCTATTGTGAGTCCCTTCTCTATAATCTTATAGTTCGTTTTCTTATGATTTAGTTATGGAATTAGTGACCCTCGGATTTCTATTCAATTTAGGGGGTTAATGGAAATTGAAGGATTATTGAGTGTGGATATGCGTTGATGATTATATTACTTTTCATGGATTTTTACGTACATTGATTAAAGTTGAGCTTTGTGATATTAGTGGTGATTGATGATAATCGTCTGCAGGTCAATCCTGCAAATCAGAGAATGCTTGGAGGTGGTGGTGCGGATGGAGGTATTCTACATTGGAAAATTTTCTTTTCCTGATATTGGACCTTATTAATGTGACATGAAAACGAACTTATAATGACCATTGATGGATTTTACCAGCCATACATAGGGCTGCTGGCCCGGAACTTCGAGAAGCATGCTTTAAGGTTCCAGAAGTTCAACCTGGTGTTCGCTGTCCCACCGGTGAAGCAAGGATTACTCCGTAAGTTCTTAATAAGTACAGTGTGTACTGCTGATTCATCCAAATGTTTCAACAGGCTAATGTGTTGACCGGTGAGATTATGCAGAGGATTTAAACTGCCTGCATCTCATGTGATTCACACTGTTGGACCAATTTATGACTCCGACAAGGACCCTAAAGGCTCACTCAGAAATGCATACAAGTATGTTATGCTATTCATTTCCCGCCACTCTATTTCTCGTTAAGTTTATCATTCTCAATAAGATCTCTTCTTGAAATTGTTGCAGAAATTGCTTGAGTGTGGCGAAACAGAACAACATTAAATACGTTGCGTTTCCTGCCATATCTTGCGGTGTATTTGGGTAAGTAATGCTAAGAAATCACCAAAGGCTTTCTTATTTTCTCCCTTTTCCCTCTCTTTTTATAGCCCTTTGATCTGGAAAGTGTAGAGAACTGTGAGATTTACATGATCAAGTACAAAACCTCAAGTCTTTACTGTCATCATATTTTTTTTTGAAACTAGATGAGCACTCGATCCTGTGGAAACTCGCCTAAATTGTATCTGGTTTTTTGTTTCTTCCTTCTGTGATGATTTTATTTGTTAAGGGCTGTTTTTCAATTGGTGATGCTTGGATTGTTGGGTTATTTTTTTGTAACTTTCTCAATTGGACTTTGATTGTGAGCAAGAAATCATAGACATAATAGAAATCTCTTGTTCATGGAAGAGCATTCTCTTCTGCCAACTTCTCTGTCATTTAATCCTTAACGTTATCTTGGATTTATTTATTTTCTAGCTTAGCTGTTTGTGCTAAACGTTTGATCGGTTTATGTTTAAATTCTTTGTTTCATTTCGGAAAATTTTCCAGATATCCTTACGAGGAAGCAGCAACGGTTGCGTTAACTACTATCAATGAATTTGCCAATGATATTAAAGAGGTAACTTCTCTTTTTATTCTGCTTCAACATTAACATAAAAGGTTTCTTGTAATTGTCGATTGATTCCCTTTGTTTCACCCTTTAGATCTCGTTTTTCATTATTACTTTCATGTTACTCAGGTGTGAGTATCAAATACAGGTATGATACATAATTCTATGTAGTCCGAATACTAGACGAACTTATTTGCCTACAAAGACTTGTAGAAGGAATTCTTTCATTTTTTCTTTCTTTCCTTTTCTTAATTGCATGATACATAATTCTATGAAGTACGGATACGAGACGAACTTGTGAGTGATGCTTACTCGAGTTGCTGTTTGCAGGTGCATTTTGTTATGTTTGACGGGGACATCTATGATGTTTGGTTGAAAAAAGCAAAGGAAATGTTCCAGGTTTAGTTCATGCTAGGAACTAGAATTGAGCTCCTTCACACTTGAGGGTGAACTTGGCAATAAATGTATCTCAGTTGGCTTGAACCGATAACTTTCTTTTGGATTATGTCCTGTGAGGGTCCAGACTTTAGATACATAAGCACCGTTGTGCTTCATCTGCACACGGCATACGTTTGATGCAGTTTTGATGTAGTAAAGTGGTTGCTAGGACACGCCATGTTACCTAAGACTTTTTATTACACCCGTGCAACTTGTATCAAATTTAGGTACATGTGTCGGATGCATAATTTGAATCGATTAATGACGAACGGACTAATAATCGGAATATATTACATGTGTCAGGGCCTAATAGGTTATGTCACATCAGTTTTAATTTTTAAATTTACTCGAAAATGTTTGGAACCATACTATGTCTCTGGTGGAGTGAACTCTCGTCTTTCAGTTGAAAATATATAGCACAGCCAACGCCTATAGCGAAAAAGTTCACAGTAATTGAACTAAATTAAAATAGGACAAATATACATTTTTTGGTACTTGAACCTAATTTTATAATTTAATTTGGTAATCAGTTTTTCAATTAAGTATTACATGTTTTTTATAGCATAGCCTTAAAATTCAATTTGGTACTTAAATGTTTTTTTTAATTTAATTAGATGTTTGAACTTTATTTTTTAACTTACGTTATTTGCACGTAGAATGAACGAACAATTTAATAAATAAAGGAAAAGAGAAATTTTATGAGAATGAAGGCAATCGAGAAATTTACTACCGAGTAGATCAATTAAAAACAATACCGAATAATCAATTCAAGAGAATATCCACATAAATATATATAAAAATACAATTCTGATTAATAAATATGTTTATGAATAGAGAAATACGCTGTGCATAAATATGATATTATTATATCAAATATTATTACTTTTTTTTATCTATAATGTGATGTATTTTTTAAATAGAAAAATAGTTATAAATTAATAAAAAAAACTAAAATTTTGTTGAGGGATTAATTTATAATTTTTAAAAATAAAACGTAAATAACTTTAAAAAAGGAAAATAATGGGGAAATATGTACGAATGTGCGTTAACGAAAAAATAGGGTTTCAATGAACCTCACTCTCCCAACTATAAAACCATATTTTTTTCCAGTCCTCTCCCAAGCCCTAGTTATTAGCCGGCGGAAGCAAAGAGCCTCCATAATCTGTACTTCTTCCTCTAATCATGGTTAGATCATTTTATCTCTAGCTAGGCTTCTGATTCTTTATCAAAACTTACTACTTTTGTTCACAAAATTGATCACTCCAAGTGTATCTCTATTGTTTTGTAGACCTTCAAACGTCGGAATGGTGGCCGCAACAAGCATGGCCGTGGCCATGTCAAATTCATCCGCTGCTCTAACTGTGGCAAATGTTGCCCCAAGGTAATTTCCATCTATGATTTATGATGTGTTTTCTTTTCCTTTTTTGATTTGTTTTTTCATTGTTTGTAATATAAAAGGATAAGTCGATCAGGAGGTTTCTTGTGAGGAACATTGTAGAACAAGCTGCTGTTAGGGATGTCCAGGTAGCCTGCGTCTATGACTGTAATTTTCATTTAATTTCTTCATTACGTTCCAACTTTCTCGTTTCATTGCCTATGTTGAAACCATTATTTGGTTAATCATGTGTAGCGTACACTCTGGTTAAGCTGCATGTGAAGATGCAAATCTGTCTTTCATGTGCGATCTACTCTCATGTCGTGAGAGTCCGATCCCGCACTGACAGGAGGAACCGTGATCCACCCCAGCGCTTCATCAGGCGCAGGGTATGTTTTTTTATAACTCGTGATTCGATGCTTCCCGTATCTTGCTAACAAGTATTTTGATGATCTTGTGATGTGAGTGAACGCTGCTTGACCATGCCTTGCTTGGATTTATTATTGTTTTCTTTCATCTCGTGGTTTGGTTATGGTAAAAGTTATGTAGTTGTTATATTTTAAGGTATGATTTGGAATTTCAGACTCACTATGGAAAAGCTTCGTCAATTTATGTCATAAACTTGTTTAAACAAGGATAGCATCCCTTAAACACGGTTAAGACTCGATCGAAACATTGCAATTTAACAGGTTATATATATACTAATTAAGTTTTATGTTATAAATTATGTCTTAGAACGTTTTTACTAGACTTTTGTGGTTGCCTATTGATTGTTACTTGGGGATCATCGAGAGAGCTTATAGAAGAATTTAGCAATAGCTGAAGCTTAGATGCCCTTTATAGAAGACTTTTGCCTCGTTTTAGGGACCTGTCTGCCCCTTTGGCCTACATACACGGAGCTTTAGGGAAGAACCAGTCCCTCACATGTTAATATCCATCTAATCACTTTGTCAGTTGCCTTTTTCCCGGTGGCATACTGATCATTATAAGATGGGAAATGTCACCTGGATTTCATTAATTAAACAGAAGTGATTGTTATTGCTTAAGTTTGTTGATACTAAGTGCCTTTTTGTGTGTGATGCTAATAGTTTTGTTTTCACGTTTCTTGAATATTTTGCCACTTTCATTGATTTTGTATTTGATTTTTAAATGCTTCAGGATGACATATGATGCTTAAGGCATATGATGCTTCAGTTGAATTTGTATATTTTATTTTGTTTTAAAATGTCTGCATTAGTTTCAAGAACATGGGAGATGCGTAGGAAGGTTATAACAGTTTGTGAAAAGAACTTATTTACACTTGTGTGATAGGAAGGTTATAACAGTTTGTGAAAAGAACTTGTTTACACTTTTGTGATTTCAAAGCTATCTAATTAAACAATGAGCAGTAATATATACACAAAGCTAGCTGAGGTAAAATAACTGACTATAACAGAAAATAACCTAACTAATTAAATAACCGTAATAGCCTCCCCTCAAGATGAAGACTGGTGAATGTTGAGCAGACTCATCTTGGAAATAAGACTTTGAAAAACTGGCGCATGAAGGGCTTTGGTAAGAACATATGCAATCTGATTGAAGGATCGAACGTGAAACAGCTTAATTAAACCTTGCTTGACCTTGATAATAGCCCAAAAATTTCAATACTTTACATAAACACTGATACTTTTTAAACATTATGTTATGCCTACTTTTGAAACTTTTTGAGACTTTTAAAACTATAACTCAAAGTTTCGATACTCTTGAAAGAGTATTGATACTTTTGCCCAGAAGCTCTAGAATTTGCCTAAAACGAAGAACAAGTATCGATACTATCCTTATAGTATCGATACTCTACCGTAAAACACATACGAAAATGTTATATTTCAATCTCAAAGACCCTAGTGAGGTCCCAAAACATTTTTTAAAGTCTTATGTGATTATAAGGAGCATAAATAAGATTTATATCATGCTTATAACATAAAATGAACAATCTACCATGAAAATTGCTAAATGTGCTTTAAACTTAACTTTCTAACACATCTTAACTTTCCATGATATACACTTGGTATGAGAAAACTATAAGTGTGTTACTTGGCCTTCTTGGTTGCTAAACTCCTCTTGAATCAACTAGGATTTACCTTGCCTTCAAGAAAACCCATTTTGAAAACAAAATTTAAAACTCACAAAATGGAGCTTGAAACAAAGCTTGAAGGATGGAGAGAAACATTCTTATCTTGGTTAAACAAATGGCATAATGCAAACAAATACCTTTAACGTTTGACACTATATGCATTTGTGATAATTATTATTTATTAAATTAATATCAACCAATCATATGTTGCCACATGGCAAATGAATTTTTTATTATATTAAGAAAATAGGGATTAAACCTCTACAAATTTTGTTATCCATGGGATTTGAACCTGGGCCTAAAGGTTGAAAGCCTTGATACCTAACCATCAAGCCAAGTCACTTGGTTGTTATTGAATGGCTAATAACAACTTTTAAAGTATATTGTTGCCATCAAAACCACCATTAACACACACTTTTTTTTAAATTATAGTTAGATTTAAATTGTTATAATTATTTGAGTAAATTTAAATTATCCATAGGTCTTTTTAAATTTAAATTTATAAATCGATATGAGGTCTTAATTAATTTTAAATTTATAAACTTAAAAAATATCATAGGTAAATAGATCTGAGGATAAACCATAGGCCTTTTTTAAAATTTATAAATTTAAAATTAATTAAAATTTTAAATTTCGGTTTTTTAATTTTACTTTGATTCATCAACAACAGATCTCCAATCTCCGTTTTTGTCTTTAGCAGTGATAGTGCTTATGGAAGATGTGAAAAAAACCCTTTTCACAGTGTTGGATTTCAAGCAAGATTTGAGGAGGTTTTCAGTGCCTTTGATTGCAGGGTAAATGATATTTGATCTAACATAGGATTCTTGGAAAAATCAAATGCTCTGTTAGATTGATGAATTGTCGAAACGTGAATGAAAATGCTTTGAAGATAAAAAAATGCAGAGTTTACCAATATTCTCCTTCGAATTGGCATCGAATTCCATTTGAAGCTGCCACATGAAATACACTATTGAAGATAAAATTTTAATTAATTTTAAATTTATAAACTTTAAAAAACACCTATGGTTTATCCCCATATCAATTTTCCTATGATTTTTTTAAAGTTTATAAATTTAAAATTAATTAAGACCCAGATCGATTTATAAATTTAAATTTAAAAAGACCTATGAATAATTTAAATTTACTCAAATAATTATAACAATTTAAATCTAACTATAATTTTTTAAAAAAATACTTGTGTTAATGGTGGTTTTGATGGCAACAATATACTTTAAATGTTGTTATTAGCCATTCAATAACAACTAAGGGACTTGGCATGATGGTTAGTTATCAAGGTTTTCAACCTTTAAACCCAGATTCAAATCCTATGGATTGCAAAATTTGTGGAGGTTTAATCACTCTTTTCTTAATTTAATAAAAAAATTATGTGCCACGTGGTAACATATGATTGGTTGATATTAATTTAATAAAAAATAATTATTTATTATTAATTAATTTTAAAAAAAATTGATAATGTGGCATCACACGTGTACATGCCACGTCAGCATTTAGTCTACGTGGATCTTCCACGTCATCATCTACAATGATATGAACATGCCACGTCAGCAAAAAATAATGACATGGAAATACCACATCATCATCGATGACCACATGTGCATGCCACGTCAAATGGACCCGTTCACCGTCAGTTTACTGACGGATTCCATCCAACGTGGGGACTTATGCCTCATAATCAAACGTTGTGGGTAGAATTGCTCCAAAAAAAACGATTTGGGCACAAATGCATATAGTGCCAAACGTTAGGGGTATTTGTTTGCATTATGCCTAAACAAATCTAAGATTGAAATGCTTGAAATTTGACTGTTGAAAGGAAGAAAAAAATGGAAACTAATGGAAGGAAGAAGAATAAGTGTGAGTGAGATATTAGGGGTTGGTTTACGTTAATTGATATAAAAAGAGGGGAAAAGATATCAGCTTCAACAAAATGGGTAAACTACACTTCAGGTCCCTCACCTATTAACTCACTTCAAAACTCTCTTACCTTTAACTCTTGGGGCTACCTTAGGCCCAACACCTATATAACTTGGTCCAACTATCTTGGGAGGTCTGATTGGCTTGATTTAAAGGACTCGGATTGACCCAAACTACTATCCCGGGTTTTGGGTATTACAAAGGCTCTTTCTGAAAATGTCTCGGTGTGCACGCAAAGTAGAGACAAAACACAAACACCAAAAGAATTTGATGTGCATGTAATCAGGAGACTGAGAACTTAGAACCTCATAAAGGGATTTGTTATCCAAGACTGAAGAGGGAAGTCTGTTTATAACATATGTAGCTGTGAGCAAGCAGTCCCCCCAAAACTTGACAGGTACACTTGATTGGAAAAACATGGCCCGTGCAACAGCCAAAAGGTGCTGGTGTTTTCTTTCCACAACTAAGTTATGTTTTGGAGTCTCAACGCAAGAAAACTGATGAAGAATGCCTAAACTAGAGAACAGACTTGTAAACTTCAACTCGGGGGCATTGTCTGATCGAAACACCTTAACATCAAACCTAAACTGCCTCTTAACCATTCGAATGAAACTAGGAACAATAGAAGCTACATCATATTTATGTTGCAGTAAATAAGTTCAAGTGGATCGTGTAAAGTCATCAACCAAAGTGAGAAAAAAACGTTGGTTATTATATGTAGCATGCTTATATGGTCCCCAAATATAACAGTGAACTAATTCAAAAGGAGAACTAGTGTGATTCAAAGATGTTGGCGATGTTGCTTTGCAAGAGGGCAAATTTGACAAGGATTATTTTTATTAGTAGCAGAAGATGGTAATACATCCTTTAACAATTCTATAACACGAACACTAAGATGGTCAAGCCTGTCATGCCAAGAAGCTAAAACAACATTTGAACTATTAGAAGAAAAAGCTTGAACACTTGGTGCTGAAGGCAGTTGCAACAGGTATAATCCACGATAAAGTTCACCCTTCCCAATCACTTGCCATAGGTCCTGAATCAAGCATTGAGTTTTATGAAACAAAACATTAATATCAGTCTCTTTAACTAAACAACTTACTGCCAAGATATTAAACTTGAACTCTGGTAAATACAACACGTTCTTAAGTATCAATTTTGAAGAAAGATGAACGATACCAGAAAAACGCACAGGAATAATGGACTTATTTGGGAGAATAATAGTGCAATCCTCAAGAGGAACTAATGAATCAAACAATTCCCTGGAATAACAAACATGTCTGGATACCCCGGAATCTATAATCCAACAATTTTGACTATTAAACGAACTCAAACTATTTATATAGGAAAGAATCTTGTCTTGCATGGCTAGGTTAACCGAAGTAGAAGACGAGTTCGAAGTCGAGGTTGCTTGAAGCTGACTAGTAAGCATGGCTATCAGCTGCTGACACTGATGAGTGGTCAAAGAATCAAAAGCAACAACTGCATTAGTCTGAACAACTTGGGGCTGCTTGGAACGGTTGTTGTACCCGGGGGGATACCCATGAAGTTTATAACACATGTCTTTGGTGTGGCCCAGCATATTGCAATGGCTGCACTAAGGATGCAACTTTCTTGGATTAACATTTTCCTTGACAGCAAATGTTGCCTCAGCAACCGGGTTGGCTAACACAATGATTCGTTGACCCTCTTCTTGAACAACCAAAGAAAAGACTTTTGTGATAAGCGGGAGAGGATCCATCAACAGTATCTGACCCCTCACATGAGCAAAAGACTCATTTAAGTCCATCAAGAATTGCATGGTCAATTCTTTTTGCTGTTCATCAAGCAATTTTCGAAGACCACCACAACCACACTGTAAACAGGTGCACATAGGTTTAACAGAAACTAACTCATCCCATATGACCTTGAGTTGAGTATAAATAATTGCTTATTGTCATAGAACCTTGAAACAACTCACCAAGCTTCTTCTTGAGAGAAAAGATTCTAGGTCCATTCGTTTGTTGAAACCTATCTTCAAGATCGCGCCAAATAGCAGTAGCAGTGGAATGGTATATGAGACTAGTCACAATCTCTCTTGAAACGGAATTCAAGATTCAGGAACTGACAAGATTACTAGATCTTATCCATGCATTAAGCAACTCATGCGAAGCAGGATCTGGAACAGGGATAGATCCATCAACAAATCCCAGCTTGTTTTTGGCGGATAAATGTTGTATTTTATACTGAAACTTAACAACACACTAAAGAAAGTAACTGAATTTGTTATTCATAAAGGAATTACACCAACCTTTTATACACGATAGCTTGTATACCATACTCAACTAACTCCCTTAACAAACTCATAACTAACCTCTAATAGCCTCAATTAATCCTGACTAACCACAAACTAACCACACAACTTACACGTACATTTGCTGCAACAACCAACCATGCACACAGCATGTAAACATGCAGCTATAGTTCAACATTTTCCCCGTCCTTCTCAGCTCTCTCCTTCTCTGCCATATGCACTTACTGTCTAAACAACACACATGTGCGGACTTAGCCAAGGGTTTTGTTAACCCATAAGCAGCTCTGCAGGTACATAGTTCACTTGAATCGCTCCACACGCCACCTTTTCATGCACAAAATGTATGTCCAACTCTATATGCTTCGACCTAGCGTGGAACACCGGATTAGCACTCATGGCAACAACAGTTGTATTGTCACTCCAAACTACAGGAACTGCAGCAACCACTTCACCCACATCAGACAGTAATGAACGAATCCAGACCACTTCAACCACTGTATCAGCAATGCTACGATACTCTGCCTCTGTTGTCGAGTGAGCCACAGTCTTTTGCCTCCTAGCACTCCACGAAACCAAGTTACACCCGAGGAACCCGAGACTGACCTACGATCGTCAACGTTACTGGCCCAATCAACATCAGCAAACGCAGTCAAGCAACAAGACTTAGACACAGGGGCCGGCCTAAAGACCAAGCCATAGTCAACTGTCCCACTCAAATAACGCAAAATTCTCTTAACAGCAAGCCAATGACCATCACAAGGCCGATGCATATACTAGGCCACTCGATTTACGCTGAACGCTATATTTGGCCTCGTATGACTCAAATACAGCAAGGAACCAACAATGCTTCTATACATGCACGCATCTGCAAGCAACTTCCCAACATCACACGTCAACTTGGGTGATACCACCATTGGCGTCGGTGCTGACTTAGCATTAAGCATACCTGTCTGCTCCAGCAATCCGCGAATAAACTTTCGTTGACTTAACACCAATTGATCAGACGACCTCCTGACCTCAACACCAAGGAAGTAACCAAGTTCACCCAAGTCCTTCAAAGAGAATTTCTTACCAAGCAGCCGAACAACCTCATCAACCACACCACTCGATTCTTCTGTGATTATAATATCATCTACATACACCAGGACCAATGTACGAACTCTACTAACCCGTCGCACAAACAACGACGCATCAGCTGCTGTACCACAGAACCCCAACTCCAACAAAAAATGGCATAGCTTGGCATACCACATGCGTGGTGCTTGACGCAGCCCATACAATGCCTTTTATGGCCTACAAACCAGCCGAGTGCCATCACTCGCTACTTGTTCAAAGCCTGATGGCTGCACCATGTAAACTTTTTCAGTAAGCTTACCATTAAGAAACGCGTTATTAACATCCACCAGTCTTAAATTCCATTCACGAGTCACTGCCAGTGACAACACAACATTAATTGTGGTCGTTTTTACCACCGAGCTGAACGTGTCATTGAAGTCATGACCAGACACCTGTGAATACCCTCGCGCCACTAGCCGAGCTTTTTGCCTTAGCACATACCCATCAGCATTGTACTTAACCTTGAACAGCCACTTACACCCAACCGCTGCTCTCCCTTTTGGCAACGGTTCGAGCACCCATGTACCATTCCTCACCAGTGTATCGTACTCAACAAGCACAACCTCTTTCTATTTTGGTTCTCGAAGAGCCTGGTCAATCGTGCATGGCTCGTTAGTACTGTCTTTAACTTGTGTAGCAAACACTTTTGGTTTAAAAATACCCCGTTTACTGCGGGTGACCATCAGATGCCCATTATTAACCAACAAATATGATGTGCCATCTTCACACTATCTAGGCACACCAGCCCGAACCGACTCATCCACCAGCAGCTCACCATGCTGCTCTACCTGTTCTGGCACCACATTCGCCACACTCTCACCTGCATCAGTACTGATCGACACACTTTCAATAGACTGATCGACACTGCTGCTGGAAGCTCTCACTTTAGCAGCCTCAGGCATTACCCCACTGCCACGTTGAGCTCCAGGAACCACCATCGGTGACTCCCCAACACCCGAGTTTTTTGAAACTGTTAACCCTTTCTTATCCACGTGCTCAGCAAACGGAAACACATGCTCATCAAAAACTACATTACGAGATATATAGACTCGTCCATCAGGTGCTAAACACTGATATCCTCGAATGACTTACACTGTAACCCAGGAAAACATACGGTTGTGACCTGTATGCAAGCTTGTAAAGTTGAAATACTCGTAAATGAGGGAAGCACCTACAACCAAACATCCTTACGTGATCATATGTTGGAGGTTTGCCAAACAACTTCTCAAAGGGAGTATGCCCTTGAAATACCTTAGTTGGCAGCGTATTAATTAGGTGGGTTATTGTTACAACTGAAAACGACCAGAACTTCAAGGGTAGAGAGGCTCGAGCTAGTAGTGTCAACGCCATTTCAAACACGTGTTTATGCTTTCTCTCCACAACCCCATTTTACTGGGATGTGTGTGGACATGTCACCCGATGTTGAATCCCACATCGTGCAAGCACAGTTGAGAGGGAACGAAACTCACCTCCCCAGTCACTCTGCACAGCCTTAACCTCCAGGCCAAACTGTGTATGCACTAACTGCTGAAATAACTGAAATGCTCGAACTGCATGCCCTTTCTCTTTCAACAAGTACACCCAGGTGTGTCTTGAACACACGTCTACAAACGATACATAGTATTTGAATCCGTTCGACACAATATGTCTCGAACCCCATAGGTCAATAAAGACTAGCTGAAATTGATGTTCATACTGAGTTTCGGACACACTAAATGAAAGCTTGTGGCTTTTACCCATATGACATAGAACACACGTTGGAAGCAATTCTTTATTCATATCACTTGGCAAAGAAATATTACACTGCTTACAAACTTGCAACAACACGTTATAGGATGGATGACCTAAACGATCATGCCATAATACATAGCTACTACTACAAGATTTATGAGCCAAATTTGCTTCAGCACCTCGATCATGATCAACCAGAAAATTGTCAAACTCATATAGGCCACCAACTTCTCTTCCTCGCAGCAGCACAGCACCAGATGTTTCATCTCGAACCACACAGTGATCAGCATGAAATTCCAAAAACACTTTATTATCCCTAGCAAGCTTGGACATCAATATCAACTTCTTAGTTATAGAAGGTACATGCAGTAAATCACTTAGTATTAAAGATCGAGATGCAGTATGAACCGAAGTTCGACTAATTTTAGCAATTGAAAGACCAATACCATTTCCTATAACCAGTTTACCAGCGCCTGTGTAATCTGAACCACCCACAACTTCAGCATCATCAGAGGTAATGTGGTGAGTAGCTCCTGAATCTACAAACCGCGAGGCAGGGGAGGAACTCGTTGCAGCTGCATTTGCAAGTGGTCTGAGTCAATCTTGACTATCCAGGCCTGTTGTATTCACGCTTGGTTTGCTTGTACAGGCACAAACACTGGAATTGTAGTGACACATATTAGTTATAGGTAATCGCTCCTTGTACAAGCTTCTCACATCTAATTCATCTACACCAGAAAACGACTTGTCAAACCTGTACCAACAGCAATTGACAAGGTGACCATTTTTTCCACACAACTGGAACTGAACCTTGGCACGCCCATGACCACGGCCAGCTTGATTATTATAGGTTGTGTGTCTGTCTGTCTTGGCTTGATCTTGACAAGTGTATCGATCATACCTATCACCCACATCATTCTTCACCTGTGCTACATTAGCAGCAACAACCACACTGTCAAAATGAGTGAAGTTCTTCTGTTGAGTCTCAGCATCAATAAGCATCGAGACTATGCCTTCCAGTGTCAAGGCATCACGACTGGCCATCATCTAGTGCATTGTCTTGAGCGACAAAGACCTCATGATCTTCATTCTCAACAATCGTGCCATCATCTAGTGCAACCGTCGCCGGCGGAGGAGCAATCAAGCCAGACAACAACTTCTCAAGACGATGACTTCTCACCGTTAACAACACTTGTTGTTTCCATAGCAGAAAGTTCCGATCGTCTAAAACAATGCTCAATCGTTTGTTGGTGAACCCTTTCGAAGCAAGTCCCAAGCAGTCAGAGCTGCTGACAACACCACTAGGAAGTGGAGAAACCGGAGGCGTCATACCACCAACGTGCGCTCAGCTAACGACGAGCATACCTTCACCACGCCACCAGATCACCAACATCTGATACCATGTTGTATTTTATACTGAAACTTAACAACACACTAAAGAAAGTGATTGAACTTGTTATTCATCTAGGAATTACACCAGCCTTTTATACACGGTAGCTTGTATACCAGACTCAACTAACTCCCTTAACAGACTCATAACTAACCTCTAACAGCCTCAACTAAACCTGACTAACCACAAACTAACCACACAGCTTACACGTACATTAGTTGCAACAACCAACCATGCACACAGCATGTAAACATGCAGCTATACTTCAACATTGGTGGATAAAGCCATCAACATCGACCTCTTCCAATTGTTGTAATTATCGCTGACGAGAGGCTGAGTAACGAGAATCATACCAGGGTAATAGGAATTGTTGCCATGATCGAACTGATCAATAATCTCAACCGTGGTGAAACATGAAAATGAAGGGAGAAAGAAAGATGATGAATTGGCTAAAAACTGAAACGAAGTAGAAAAACGATGGAAGCAAAAAACTTATGATACCATGTAACAGTTTGTGAAAAGAACTTATTTTACACTTGTGTGATTGCAAAGCTTGATAAGAGGATGATCTCTTCTTAATAACAATGAGCAGTAAATATACACCCAAAGCTAGCTGAGACAAAATAACTGATTATAACAGAAAAGAACCTAACTAACTAAATAACCGTAATTTTGATTTCTCGACTAGTTTAATTTCATTTTGAATATTATGGTCAAAATGTCCCCTTTTCAGCCGACAGTTATGGGTAAGGACAGCACCATTCTCTATGTTTTCACCGACACATGCTATGGTTAATTTAAACCTTCGGCAGCTACCCCTTAAAACCACCCCATGTTGTTGCAGCTGCCCTCACTCGGTTAAAAATCAGATGAATTTCATTTCATTTTCCATCCCTTATTCTGTTTTCTTTTTGTCGATTTGCATGCCACGTGCAATGGTGGGATGTGGTGGCTCACCTAAACAGACTACTCATTTTATTTCTTTGACTCGCACAGCATAAAATAATTTCTCAATAATATAATTATTATCTTTACTCATTTTAATAATCACATCAACATGTTTGATGATCAATAGTGCAAATTTCGATTATAACAATCCTTATTAATTTACCGAAGAAAGAAGAATTAAACTAAAATAGTAACATAGTTTACAATATACTTAATTCTAATTTAGAATCAAAATCATCTGGACTCATTTTGCTTGGTTTTAATAAATAAAATGTTAAAACAATCCGAATAAATTTAGAATCAAAATTTGAAATTTTATTTATATTATTATACAGTGAAAAGTACATGGTTCGAGAGTTTGAAGGACATAAATTAAATTTAAGAACTAAATGTTTAGAACTAATTTTTATAATTATTCTGCTTTTTACCGGTTAAATCGATTTTAAATCCCAATTGATTGATGTATACTTTTTTTTTATCTATAACATGATTGAAATGATAGTGAAGTAGAAGCATCGATTTATCAATAAACCTAATCAATAAGCTGAGGACTCGTGATGCACAAGATGGAGACGCCAGGCCTCAAAGCGGCATAGCCAACAGCTCCACAAATTGGACACGGCAGGTTTTGAAGTTTCGGGACGTGTCTTACATGCATGATGGCATATATCCAGAATTATGACCCCTCCTCACTCTATAAATGTGTATATATACTTGTGTATGTATGTAGGTATGGAGTACAACTAGAAAGAAGCAAAAATGGCTCGTGCAACTTTCACAACTGATGATCAAAAGCTAGAGTTTTACAGGCTGCTGTGTGGCCACAAAATCCCTGCCGTTGGATTAGGCACTTGGAGATCTGGTTCTCAGGCCGATAACTCTGTTTTCACTGCCATTGTCGAGGTAATGATTGCTTCCCTTGTATCATTTTTCATTGCATTTGGAGCTTGATTAGTATTGATTAAGCCTCTAATCATGTTGCAGGGTGGTTACAGACACATAGGTACAGCTTGGGAAGGCAACAATACATGCAGGACTTGAGAGGAGGGATCTTTTCGTTACATCCAAGATATGGTAATTTGTGTTACTTTTTTTGTTTGATTTTTACGTTTTCTTATGGGGAACTTTGCGGTGAAATGAAATATACAGGTGTACAGACTTGACACCTGAAAGGGTTCGACCTTAATTGCTAAACACCCTCCAAGAACTCCAACTTGAATATCTTGATCTTTATCTGGTAATTATAGATACGTTTCGATTTCTATTGACGTGACAATGTTATAGGGTGTTGAAAAAATCATTGAAATGAAATGAACCATGAATGCAGATACACTGGCCATTTTGTCTTAGAGAAGGAGCTAGTTGGCCTCCCAAGGCTGGAGAAGTAGAGGAGATGGACATGGAAGGCGTGTGGAGAGAAATGGAAAAGCTTGTCAAAGAGAACCTCGTTAGAGACATCGGTGTCTGCAACTTCAGTTTGAAGAAGATGAACAAGCTGCTAGGCCTTGCTGAAATCATGCCTTCTGTGTGCCAATTTGAAATGCATCCCGGTTGGAGAAACGACAAGATGCTGGAGTTTTGCAAAAACAACTCCATCCATGTTACTGTAGAACACATTTCATTTGAATCATTTCCCGTTTTCCATATTCCACCGTTGATACTTAATTAAGAGGTTAAATTTGCAGGCGTACTCGCCGCTTGGATCATCGGAAGGAGGAAGAGATCTTATTCACGACGAGACGGTGGAAAGAGTTGCGAAGAAGGTGAACAAGAGCCCGGGTCAGGTGCTGGTGAGATGGGGGATGCAGAGGGGAACCAGTGTAATCCCGAAATCAAGCAACCCAGAGAGAATAAAGGAGAACATCAAGGTGTTCGATTGGCAACTGCCGGATGACGATTTCCAAGCTCTCTGCAACATACCTCAACAGAAACGAGTGTTGGATGGAGAGGAATTGTTTGTGAACAAGAACCAAGGGCCTTTCACAAGTGGCTGATATTTGGGATCATGAAGATTGATTAACAAACAAAGCCCATGTACAATCTTGAGCACCTGGTTTTGTTTTCATTTCCTGGATGTTTCAGTTAATCATATGGTTAATAATAAGAGACTGGTTATTTATTTGTTTTTCCAGGACTTATGGCTTCATTTCCTGCATGGTGAAACAAAAGCACAAAAATGGTTTACTCAGACAATGATTTCAGAACTTCAACCAGTTGGATCATTTCTTTACATCCTAATTGATTGTATCTTGTTTCAAATCTATGATTGCATGTCCAAGCCATGGATCATTACAAAAGCTCAAACCCGAATGCATATGACACGGACAAATTTTATGTAGGTTAGCAAACACTAAGAACTGCAGTGAAGATTTCGAGTGGCAGCAGACCAGCAATCATCTTTTATTTAGTAAGGTTCAAATAGGACAAAAGTGAAACTAAAGTAAATACTTAAGTATGGCATATGAATATCCATGTTAACTTGAGATAGGTGCATCCTGTAAATGGTAAAAACCAAAGTTAGTGACCAACTGAGATTAAAATGGCAGGTGCTGAAGTCATCTTTGTAAGTGAATCTTCAAATGCTTTTTTTCCTTACAGTGGACACATACATCAATGTTATAAAATCATAACAGAGGAAAATCGTTAACAAAGGGCCATCTACTTAACAATAAATTCATTCATACAAACATGAATCTTAAAATGTTTTTTTCCTTACAGTGGACACTTACATCAATGTTATAAAATCATAAAATTAAAAAAAAAATCCTTAATTTCAGACACCCTGTAATCCTGTAATCATCGTATGTACATTACCTGGAAAAAAAAATATCTAAAAATTTGCAAAAGGAAAAAACAAATGAAACGCTTCGAGATTGGTGGCTAGCTGTTGATGTTGTTGGTTCCTCTGCTAGGTTCGGAGGGTGGAACAGGTACTCCCTTGGGAAGCCTGCTGAGGATCATTGCTCCGCCGGCAAGTCTTTGAGTTGGAGACCTCAGAACCTCCACATTGGACCTCTTCATGGTAACCATATGGTGGTGACGTGGCTTAAGGTCCCGTTCGGCTTCTTTAAAAACGACGTCGGTGGTCTCCGTGGAAGGAAGGCCGTCGGACAGAAAGTCATTCACAAGCCTACCTGAAGACAGTGAAGAAGACGCTGTGGCTGTGAAGATGACTAATAAGAGTACCGTGGCAATGAGATGTTGGGATTTTCACAAGGAAGCCTTCGACGAGTTTCGAGAGGGAAATTTTGTTGAAGAAAAGTTGTTTGTGCTTTCTGGCTTCGAGGAGAAGTTTTGATGAATTCGTGGCATCTTTCGAGGGTTTATATATAGAGAAAATAATTTCAGTGATCAAAAATCTCATATAATATACGATTTTAACCAATTTTTTTCGGATTTATCAAAATGACCAACAAAATCGCAATGCGATCGCTAATTCGCAACGCGATCTCCATTATCGCAAATTCGCGTTGCATTTTCGCAATGCGATAGTTGAAAATCGCGTTGCGATGATCTACAGTGTCGTTGCGATTTTCCCAATTCGCAATGCGAATAAGTAAATCGCAACGCGAATTGGGAAAATCGCAATGCGAATAAGTAAATCGCAACGCGAATTGGGAAAATCGCAATGCGATACTGACTATCGCAATGCGATAATACAAAATCGTAACGAGATACTTACTTTCGCAACGCGATACTGACTTTCGCAACGCGATTCTGACTTTCGCAACGCGATAATACATAATCGCAATGCGATTTTCAAAGCGCCATTAGTATCCTGGCCAAGTATTTTATTTTTAAATTCCAAACACGAATATTAATATATTGGAACACTGAACCGTCCACAGTATATCCCGTAATCGCAACTCATAACCTAAAACCTAAAATCACAACTCAGTCCCATCTCCATCTCTCACTCTCTCACCCATCTCCGACGAAATCTATCACCATCTCCGGCGAAATCCGTCTATCTCCATCTCTCAGAGCCACCCTCACAATCAGAAATGGAAAATCAACCAAATTAACCAACCAGGGTTAGTTTTTTTAATTATTTTCTTTTTGAAATTTTTGCATTATTATTAGGTTTTTCATATTGAAATTGATGATAAGTTTACTGGTAATTTCAATAATAGATTAACCATTTCACTTAGATTGCTTATTAAATCAACCGAGAATCGCAACGCGAAATGCAAATCGCAACGCGATTTTAGTTTCGCGTTGCGATTATCTCGTTGCGATAGTCAAATTCGCGTTGCGATAGTCATAGAAACTATTCTTCTTCTGCAAATTGAAACTTGAATGAATTGCATTACTTCAACCAAAAAACAAAGACAAATACGAAATTCACAGTGTTGCAAATTTAAGTTTGAAGAATAAACTACTACTCTTATGTATTATTGTTTTGGTATATCTTCACAGTGTAGTTTTTGGTATATCTAATTTAGTATGTTTATTGTTTTGTAGAACTTTTATTCGGCTCAATTGACCTTGAGAAATAAAGTCAGCCTGGCCAAAACAATTGCGTCGAAGCTTTCACTGCACAAAGAAAAATGTTTGAGGATACATGCTTCGGGCCATGGCTGAAAGTACAACATCCCGGTGGAGATGCGATGTTGACACACCTGTTTCTTCAAACCATGACTAGCGATCTACCAGACTATACAACGTCGTGATGAAGAGATATGGTTTGATTTTCCACCGCGTATACGTGTTTTGGGCGGGAGGAGTTTTGCTTAATCACCGGTCTACGCTTCGGACACGATGATGTAGGTCGGTACACTAGACACATTACCCGCCCATCATGGCTATCCCGGTTTTTCCTGAGCTGGAGAGGCCGAGTCTACACGTAGAAGACCTGACAAGATTGTTGAATAATAAAGATGGTTTTACTCGGATGGATGACGTCGACGTTGTCCGATTATGCCTTCTAATTCTTTTGCATGCCGGCTTTTTAGGCAGAGAGGCCAGACAACCTATTCCAAATGATCTAATCAAATTGGTAGAAGACCTAAATGCGTGGAACCTATTTCCGTGGGGCTCGTATTTATGGAAAGCTACATGGAATAAGTTATCGTCTGCCTTGGATGATCGAAAAGTTTGCATGGCGATGGTTCCAAATACACTTTGACAGACTTTATTTGGGCCTTTAAATAAGAATTTTTA